TTACAAAAGCCTTGTTGAAACTCTGTTTTGAACTGGCAAACTTGTATACCAAACCTTTGGTTTTTGGATTTGTGAGCAGAGCTTGGTCGGAAGAGAACAAGGTTTTGCCCTGCAGGATCAACTTGAAGTAGGTGTTATCAAAAGTTGTCGAGGAAGGATCCAGAGTTGCTCCCGCATTCTTGCCTTGTTTTTGATATGGCAAATGCTCCTTAAACTTGCTGCAAATGATGGGTGAATTGTCGGGTCTATGTCATGCGTTGCATTGAAGTTGCGGATTCTTTTCTGGAAGGATGAGCAGTGGGAAAATCCAATAGTGTGGCCTCCTGCAACAACATCACAAGTAAGTACCATCTTAATCCTATGAACATATAAAATTTTATCATTTCAGTTAACCTGAAAGAGCTACTAGTCATCCATGGATAGGCCTCTCTGAGAGAAGCTTTGCTGCAGTTGAGAATGTTGAAGGTTGGAGCTGGCAATTGTATGGTTTCGCTAGCCTTCGACATTCTCCGTCTTTTCTTCCCTTAGGCACATCCCATAGGACCTCCGGACTATAACGAATTGATCACATAGACACCATTAGATCAGCCATATACATATATCGAACAGATAGAACTTAGAATCTGCATGAATAAATGTCTTACTAGCACGACAGCATCCCTTGCAGCAAAAGCCAAAATATCAGCACATGAAACGACACCAGGACACTGCTTCAACTTCTTTCTTTGCATTTTCTATAACATAAAATCCATGCAATGAAAGATTTGCAGGTCCGTCTTTTTCAGCTTTATTGTTTCCCTTTGAGTACAACAGCACAGAAGCATCACAACCCTGAAAAAAAGGCCATTTGAATGTATAAATCAATCTCAAAATTCCAACTTCAAAGATGACATCTCTTAAATCCACACCAATTACCCTGATAAAACAATCATGAAAATGCATTCGAAGAAGGGCAGCAGGGACTGTCTTATCCTTCATGGTGGCACTCTTGACAGCATTTGCAACTATCAACTCGACGTCTGGACAGGTTTTCTCATAGTGATTCAAGCTAAGAGCAACGGTCGGCGAAGAAGATGCCAACACAAGGACAACTAAGGTCAGTACCGCTACGAATAAGCCATATCGTCTTATTTTATCGACTCACAAGTAGATTTGAGCTTGTTTTTTGCATGGGAAAGTTTGGAGATTTATAGTGAGCCAGAGGGATCCGTTGGTGACAAAGGTAAGGTGACCTGCAGGTGGCCCCATTGTATATAGTAATGAATTGCTTCTTTAAGCAAGAATGATGAAGTGTTCATTAAGCATTCTTCATCCGACCACAAACTCCCCATGCAACTGACCTTTGTCATTTTCATCTCTATGTTAAAAATATTCCAACTTTCTTTTGTAACTATGGCTTGTGAGGATCAATTTTCTAATTTGACATGTAATTAAATTGATGTATTTAATCGATCTAAGCATGGACGAACATAAAATTTTATGTCAGGAGACGAACTCTTAAAATTTTACGGGTAACGAACTTATAAAAGTAATGGCTTTCATTGGAATTTTCAGGTGCTCCCCCTCGGTTCATCCCTGAACCCAAGCATTCATTGGAACATTTGATGAAGTAACTGGCTTTGCTCAAAGAAAAGTGTCTCGATACATTCTCCATGTTCATTAAGATGAAAGTTGGGTAATTTTATGGATTGCATTATAACGAGATTAGGACAAGACTCCAGCCGTTGCCAACGTCTGATCCAACAACAGGAAAAAAGATTCTCGTTTGTTAAAAAGGAGGTTGGGTGTAACAATCACAGTGTTACTTGCCTTAATAAGCTTGGTTTTTTAAGTACAATTAAGGCTCCTTTTTAGTTAGCCAAGGTGTTCACAGGACATTTTATTATTATAAATTTATTTAAAAATAAAATTTAACAATTTTTTTTTTATTTTTTTAATAGTCTTGAGATAATTATAAGATAATATTTATTCACAACTTTCTTAACCTATTAACAACGTACACACTTCCTACAATAACTCTAGGGAGATCAACAATTCATTTTACAACTTAGGCCACCTAATTTGAATATAATACTAGTTTAGAAACTATCTAGAGTTTTTTATATATTGAATTGAATAATCTCTATGATTAGGAGTGCTCAATCAATTAATTTGATCAGTAGCCGAATGAATTAATCAAATTGAATTAATTGAAAATTTTAATCGTTAATTGAATTGATTTTTTAAATTATTAACCGAATCGAACAAAGTTCGACCAATTCAGTTGAGTTTTAAATCAACTGAAATTTTTTATAAGTTTTTTAGTTAGATTAATTTGATTTTAACATTTGTGTTTTTTTATTTTGGGTTAAAATATGATTGAATCTTGAAAGTTTAGCGAATTGAGTGGGTTAAAATAGTCGATATTTGATTTTAATGGCTTTGGTCTTATATACTTATATAGAATAAATAATATATTTTTTATTTTTTATTATTTCAATTAATTGATAATCAACTGTGAAAAAAATTAATTGATATCGATCCAACATCTAATTATTTAATTAATTAAATTATATTTTAATTCATCAATTAATTTAATTAAAACCAAATAATTAATTAAATTATATTTCTATAACCATATTTTAATTCATTGCACAAAAACATCCTACTTTCCTTCGGGCTCAGATTATTGTGCGTGAGAAAAATCATTGATTGGTGTTACACTCAACTTTTTTAAAAAGAAAATAATATCTATTCTATTGACTTATAAGGCTGAATACATAAATTGGTCTCAACTTAGTAACTTTTTTAAAAATTGGTCCTTAATTATTTTCTAGTCAAATTGACTCATTAACTTGGTAATTTTATCAATTTGGTCCTGAACTTTTTTTATTTGACAAACGGCTAATCATCTACATTGTATTCATCACATATATGCATATAACTTCCATAATTGGTGCCTACATCAAGTGATCACCATCCATCATGCATGATTACCATTTAATGAGGAGAAACTGGGTATGTATATATGTCGATTCATGCATTTTAATATATTTGTAAATTCTGACATTATATAAATAAAAATTTCCTCGCTTCATTGAAAACTTTAATCTCTATAGCAAAATGATTTAATGTATAACTTTGAAATGTAAGTGTTGCAATAGAACAATCAATCATCTCTGGAACTCGAACATATGTACAAGCCCGTGGATGCTACAATAATCTAAAACAATAAGTAAAATTAAAATTAATTAAATTAGGGACGAAAATAGAATTAGAGCAATTGTGATCCATAACGGGTAACGAACTTATAAAAGTAATGGCTTTCATTGGAATTTTCAGGTGCTCCCCTCGGTTCATCCCTGAACCCAAGCATTCATTGGAACATTTGATGAAGTAACTGGCTTTGCTCAAAGAAAAGTGTCTCGGATACCATTCTCCATGTTCATTAAGATGAGAAGTTGGGTAATTTTATGGATTGCATTTAACGAGATTAGGACAAGACTCCCAGCCGTTGCCAACGTCTGATCCAACAACAGGAAAAAAGATTCTCGTTTAAAAAGGAGGTTGGGGTGTAACAATCACAGTGGTTACTTGCCTTAATAAGCTTGGTTTTTTAAGTACAATTAAGGCTCCTTTTTAGTTAGCCAAGGTGTTCACAGGACATTTTATTATAAATTTATTTAAAAATAAAATTTAACAATTTTTTTTTATTTTTTTAATAGTCTTGAGATAATTATAAGATAATATTTATTCACAACTTTCTTAACCTATTAACAACGTACACACTTCCTACAATAACTCTAGGGAGATCAACAATTCATTTTACAACTTAGGCCACCTAATTTGAATATAATACTAGTTTAGAAACTAATCTTAGAGTTTTTTTATATTGAATTGAATAATCTCTGATTAGGAGTGCTCAATCAATTAATTTGATCAGTAGCCGAATGAAATTAATCAAAATTGAATTAATTGAAATTTTATCGTTAATTGAATTGATTTTTTAATAATTGAATTGATTTTTTAAATTATTAACCGAATCGAACAAAGTTCGACCAATTCAGTTGAGTTTTAAATCAACTGAAATTTGTTATAAGTTTTTAGTTAGATTAATTTGATTTTAACATTTGTGTTTTTTTATTTTGGGTTAAAATTTGATTGAATCTTGAAAGTTTAGCGAATTGAGTGGGGTTAAAAAATAGTCGTATTTGATTTTAATGGCTTTGGTCTATATACTTATATAGAATAAAAATATTTTTTATTTTTTATTATTTCAATTAATTGATAATCAAACTGTGAAAAAAATTAATTGATAATCGATCCAACATCTAATTATTTAATTAATTAAATTATATTTTAATTCAATCAATTAATTTAATTAAAACCGAATAATTAATTAAATTATATTTCTATAACCATATTTTAATTCATTGCAAGCTAATATATGTTTCAATATTATATTTAATTTATCTCTTGTAAAACACAAAAACATCAACTTTCCTTCGGGCTCAGATTATTGTGCGTGAGAAAATCATTGATCGGTGTTACACTCACTTTTTTAAAAAGAAAATAATATCTATTCTATTGACTTATAAGGCTGAATACATAAATTGGTCTCAACTTAGTAACTTTTTTAAAAATTGGTCCTTAATTATTTTCTAGTCAAATTGACTCATTAACTTGGTAATTTTATCATTTGGTCCTGAACTTTTTTTATTTGACAAAAACGGCTAAATCATCTACATTGTATTCCATCACATATATGCATATAACTTCCATAATTGGTGCCTACATCAAGTGATCACCATCCATCATGCATGATTACCATTTAATGAGGGAAAACTGGGTATATGTATATATGTCGATTCATGCATTTTAATATATTTGTAAATTCTGACATTATATAATAAAAAATTTCCTCGCTTCATTGAAAACTTAATCTCTATAGCAAAATGATTTAATGTATAACTTTGAAATGTAAGTGTTGCAATAGAAACAATCAATCATCTCTGGAACTCGAAAACATATGTACAAGCCCGTGGATGCTACAATAATCTAAAACAATAAGTAAAATTAAAATTAATTAAATTAGGGACGAAAATAGAATTAGAGCAATTGTGAGTCCATAAGGCAGAGCTTTAAGCAGAGTTGATTGATTGTCGTGGTGAAGTTGCCCCTGGAACACCAGAATTATTGCCATTTCCCGATGTGGCTTCCGGATTGACTGCAATAGCCGAGGACCGCCATCGGTGGTATCACCGGTAGAGTGTTCGAGGCCTCAACATCATAACCTAAGAAAACCATATCTCATTGTTAAAGATGTATGAGATAACTAGATATGCCAACGAAACGGGGAAGTTACTTACAGTCGGATGCTTTCCAGCCGAGTACCATCTTCTCACGATCGACGATACGATAAACCGTCATGAAATTTTCTGGATTGAATTAAAGAAAACGTAACAAGCATCTTCTCACGATCGAACGATACGATAACCGGTCATGAAATTTTCTGGATTGAATTAAAGAAAACGTAACAAGGAATCAACATTTACTCCTAGAAGAATACAGAAGCTAAATGATTGTATCAGATACAGGAGATCCATTAACTCTTATGCAATAAGCTTCGAAAACAGCAGAGTAAACTGTGTCGCTGGGAGACTTACGTCCGATGATATTCACACTGTCACTTTTCACGACACCTAAACAGTACAGACCTCCACCCTGGAGATGAAATGAACAAGGATTATCTTTCATCACGAGTCGAGAAGCACGATAAACATCTAGTAGAATCGAGATGAACTTTTACCTTTGTGGGAATCACTACTATTGGATCGTGGATGGAAAACCGATCTCCGCCGTTCATTGTCAAATTCACTACAGGGTACTTAAAGCTCGTTGGTTTGCACTGTAGGTAAAAGAAATCAGTGCCTGAGGCCTCCATGCAAGGAAAAAAGAACAATTTTCGATAGATCTAAACAAATGGATTACCTTAGCTCATAAAAATATTCAAAGGGAAGCTCGTCTGAAGAACTACTAGACGTATACCTCTTCCTTGGGTCAATTGTTGAACTACCGAAATAAAATCAGTATAAATACGTGTACCGGAGAAAATGGAGGAAAACAATGAAGTATGTGGTTTGAAGTATGAACTACTTACACTCTCGGAATAAGCGTATAAGCTGGGTCATTCAGATATGTAAACGAGGTACCCGAGTCGAAAATAGCAATTGTGCAACCCCTAAAAAAATTTATAATTTTTTTGTGCAACTCCTGAATTTTTGTCTTGGGTCCGCCCCTGTCAACAACAGTGCAGTGAGATTTCCCAAATTTAGAAAAATTGTTTCATAATGGCAAAGGAAACTAAAAGTTACAAACCCGAAAGTAATCTTGGCTTCGACGGGTTTGGTTTCATCGGCATCCGTGGTTAAGTGCAAGACATCCTGCACCAAAACTCCGATCGATGAAGTGCCATCGGACAGTAGTCAACTTGATAAGGACAATTATTCGAAGGCGAAGAACATCTTCTATGATGTTCGCCATGGCACTGTTACAGGGAACCTTTGAGCTTGTGGATGATATTAGGGCTGTAGATGTTAACTCTATTGCCTAAAACACACAAATTGCAGCATAATACCAATCAAAATGGCTGTTCACGCATCAAAAAAAATAGATAAATCATGGAAAGCATCATGGGGTTCACAACTACCGGGAGAGCATAATATATAAGGGATCCATTAGGTGTATCACTTTCATAATTTTTCATCCAATTAATATTTTAATATTCCGACGGTTGAATTTACCAATATAAATATTATTATCTTAAATGTAAAATTTCAAATCGATTTGATCTTCATCGACATGATTTAACACATTTTACATCAAACAAATAGATTAGTATTTTTAATTTCGAAATGAATGATTTAGGTGAACAGAATATGAAAGAGGACGGTGCAATGGTTGAAGCAATTAATGGAAGTAGGGGAGATTCTCTTTTATTTAATGAAAGAATCAAAAGAAACAAGGGTAAATTTAGGTGAACACAACTACCGACGTGATAATTTTTAAAAAGAAATTTATAATGACATGAGATTAATTTAGTGACACATTGACATCACCGTTAATTTTAATGATGAGTGACCAAAAATAAAATAAATGTAAATATTATGTATGACTATGAAACAAAATTAGTCAGATGACTAAAAGCGAATAAAAATGATAGTTAATATACTAAACTTGTAATTTATCCAAGAAATAAAGAATTATTAAACGATTTTAGAAAAAAAAAAAATGGGATTACCGGATAGCCAGATTGTTTCTATGCCTTTGACACAACTGGAACATCGCATGGCAACCAGAAGAGATCGCTGCCGGTGTCGAGTGCTACCAAAAATGACAAAGCTGGCGTACCCACCGATACATTGGCGTAATGCAAACTGAAATTTCCAAATAAAAAATTAAAAAAAATGGAAAGCTCTCGAGATTAAATAAACAGAAAAGTAAACATTCTCCAACATCATAAGAATTTAAGATGAGAAAAATGATCCTCTTTTTCTCGTCAACCAAACAGAAAAAAAAGCATGAAATTCGCTTTGGGTTCTAAAAATTCACTTCGGACTATCGTTGAACTACATAATAATCAGAAACTAAGTAATTATACAGTAGAAATATTTTTCGTTCAAGAGAAAAATTCATAAAAGCAGAACGAGTGTGAGGGGGGAAGGCGAAATCATACAATCCAAGGAGTTCAATCGATAAGTCTCGTTCCCGTCGATGAAAGTACAGGCGACTGATCATTCGCCATCGCCAAATGACGGCCCTTGATTATTGTATCGCGGTGGACCATGGCGGTGTAATACTCCGGACTTCCCTTCACCGGCAATTCATCGACGACTAAGAATTCCTTAACAGGATCCGAATATCTATGATGGATATCAAACCCGAAAGTACCGAAAACCGTAAGATCCCCGCTCTCAACCCCAACACCACTAACAATAAGACACGACTGTGTCTGAAACGAGTAAACTCACTCATGTCAGAAAATTTTTAGTTAAATCTTAGGGAAACCAAATTTTTGAGAGAGAATGAAATGGTTTGGTTGGAGTTTTAAGGTAAAACGAATTGGGAAGTGAAACCCCAACTCTGGTCGGTTAGGTGGGTCCCGCAGACGATTTGTCTTTTACTGTATTGCAATTTCTATTTTGGGAGATTTTCATTTCCATGCCTGATTCGCTGCCCTTTTTCATAATAAATCCCTCCAAATTTATGAAAATTTGTCTAATTGGTACCCAAAATTTTGTATTACTCCACGAGTTTGTTTAGTGAAGTTTTTACCAACTTTGACTTAAATACGTGTTTAGTCCACTATCTTCATCTAAAATTTCATATTATTTTAAACTTTCTTTCATTATTTTTAATCACTTATGGACAATTACAAATTAAGTTAGATAGAACTCGTCATATAGTCTATAGTAGAAGGGGAGGTTATTCTCCTTAGAGATCATGGATTCAAGTAATTCTATCGTAAGGTATGTGCGATTGTCAGTCAATTAAGAAATTTCTAAATAAGTGCTACCTTGTAACACCTCTTACTATTAAAAAAAATTGAATTATACACTTATTATAATAGCAAAGGTAAGATTTTTAAGTGAACCTTTTAATCTCATTTTTTTTATCTTTTTATTAAAACAATTTTCTTAAATTTTATATGATCACGTTATTAGTGAGTTGATACATGGCACACAAAAATTCATAGTACTTAGTTATTATATTTAAATATAATTAAATATTTATTACAACTTAAATATAATCTATTAAACGTAACTTTTTAAAAAAACCATTCAATTCGATACAAGTTAGAATCAAAATTTAATTATATAATAAGATGCATCAACTTGACTACTATTGTGAGGGGGCCAAAAAGGGAGGATTTAGAAATCAAAGAGAACAAAAAGAAAGAATAAAATAGAAGAAGCCCATTTTTGCAAAAGAAATAAAATAGAGGAATGCGGTCCATGACGGAGAAAATAAAAGTTGAAAAATAGGTGGAGGTTAGTTGGTGAAAGTAAAAGAGTTATCCATGATTGGCGGAAGAATATAAGAACTCAGTACCAACGCCACGTGTAGAATTTTGTTGACTTTTTTGGTCAATCTGTTCAACTCTCCCCTTTCTTAATTGACACTCTCAAGTTATAATAATTATGGTTTACCCCTTAAAAATATAGAAAACATTCGCAATAATAATAAAAAATTAAACAATTACACATTGCATTAATTTCATTGACGTCTGTGATAAATAAATTATATTGTTTTATAAGATTTTGAGTTTGAATATTAAATATCAGAGATTATGAATGTTTAATGTCAAAGGTTGAGAATTATCTTTAAACATATATTACCTTATTTTTATCTCATAATAATAACAGTATTTGTTTATTAATAACTATTTTTAATATATTAAATAAAAAATTATTTAAAAAAAGCATATTGTACAAGTTGCATTAATTGTGGCTAGAAAATAGAAATATGTCGGCGTGCAAGTTGCTGGAAATTTCTTCGTTTGACTTTCAATAATTAGGAACGTTCGGTCGCAATTATATCCACGTTGCACGCGGACAATGTGGGCTGAAACGTTACGGACCCATCACCAATTTTACCAACTCGCATATAATAGAAAAATATTTTATAAAAAAATATTTTTTCAAAATTTACCCAACAAAAAAAATTTAAATAGAATGATACATAATTTGTTCATAATTTTTTGTTAAACATTAATTTAAATTTTGCATGTAAAACTTTTAGTAGTTTTATTTAAATTTATATAAATTAAGGATAACATAAAGTAATTATGATCGTTTTAAAAATACTTTTTTTATATTTTAATTAAATTGAAATTCTATTAATATATGATACTAAAAATTCTTGTACGAGAGTACATGCTTTAAATACAATAATTTATTATCATTTAACAGATTCTTTTCCTTTTTGATTGATATTATGAAAAATATTAATTACTATTTAATATAACAATTGAATAGGCCGCCCTACATGGTTATTTTGTGGAAAGAAACCGTTACTTTGCTTCGGTTGTAGTTCTAAATTAAGTCTTTGCACGTGAAAACTGGAAATTATTGATTTCGTGAAACACAACGATAGTCAAAGAGAAGCTGCAATTAAGGATGTAAATCACAATGTATTTGATGAATTGTTTATAAATTATTTGTTTATTAAGTTAAATAAATTAGTATGAATAATTTTTATGTTCATTTAATAAACAAATGAACATAAATAAAAATGTACTTAGTTCGTTTATGTTCATGAACAAGCATGTTCGTTTATCAACTCGTTTACAAACTCATTTATTCGATTTTCATTTTCCTTTTTTATTCTCAATATTGGTGAAAGTAGGGACTAAAGTGAAAACAAAGTGAACGTTAGAATTCAAACTATAAAACCTAGGAGATTAAGGACCAGTGGCATAATTTCACCATATTTTATTGCAAATAAAAGAAAAAGTGTTGGTTGCCGGTTACGAGGAACTCCAAATATGTTAACGAACGTTAAATTAATCAAACATCAAAATCTTTAAAATAAATAAACAAATAAAATATTTAAAATTCAATGAATACGGATCGAAAATAAACACATTTAAAAATAAATAAACGAATACAAATACGATTTTATTTATTCAACCCCTATTCAGTACCCCTAGCTGCAATGCCATTACGTCGTTGAAATTTCAAACAAAATTTAACATATTGGACAGGTGACAGATTCATTATTCAGTGCCACCAAAAATATGCTAAACTTGCAGTGTGGCTATACAACAATAATGAACAAATACCTATGGCTTTCCTCAAAGCTAAAAGGAAAATGAATGATATCGACAATAAAGCAATGATACAATCCTACGTAGGAGCATAATGCTAGGATCAGTTTCCTTATCGATTATCTAAAGGTATTTTCAGTTAAATGAGGGCATAGCTTTGAAAGTCAGCCCAAGAATATACTACAACAATAGAGGCAATATGGAGACGAGTCCGAAGAATGATAGGAGAGAAGCATGGAGATGGCAAGATGGCCAGGCAAACCGATGCAGTTACCCCTAGCTGCAATGCCATTACGTCGTTGAAATTTCAAACAAAATTTAACATATTGGACAGGTGACAGATTCATTCAGTGCCACCATAATATGCTAAACTTGCAGTGTGGCTATACAACAATAATGAACAAATACCTATGGCTTTCCTCAATGCTAAAAGGAAAATGATGATATTGACAATAAGCAGATACAATCCTACGTAGGGAGCATAATGCTAGGATCAGTTTCCTTATCGATATCTAAAGGTATTTTTCATGTTAAATGAGGGCATAGCTTTTGAAAGTCAGCCCAAGAATACACTACAACAATAGAGGCAATATAGAATAATTATGGATTCCGGCAGCAATGGCAGGAGGCGCAGAGGCAGGATATGAAGCAGACGAAATCTGTAGTAACCAGATTGGCATATTAAACCTTAACGGAAAAGTACATTTTGAACACAAGTATCACTACAATCGAACTTCTTCCACCCCGAGACAAATCTTTCTCGGTCGAACACCACACGGTAGCCAGTCGTAAAGTTTTCTATTCCGAGTAAAAAACAGCCAGAAAAGCAATCACAAATAATAGAGAAAAAAATGTTGTCGAGGAAAGCAATCACAGACAGTTAAGGAATTTGATTCATTGTGTTAAAACATAGTTGGGGCATCAGTTCAACGCATTCAATGGGAAAGACTTACGTCCAATAATATTCAGTTCTCTACTCTTGATGACAGCTATGCAATATACAAATTTGCTCTGCAAATCATTAGAGATAAAATTTTTAATGCAATAATAACAAAAAAGAAAGAACAAAGCCGAGTAGTAGTACACCACCTGAGTCGAAATGACAATTATCGGGTCATACTAGGCATGGTTAAACTCAACCTAAGTAGCATAGAAGATATGAACAAGACTAAACAACCCTCATATCATAACAGTACTCAAAAGGGATCCTTGAATCGGATGGACGACGACTATCTTGTACCTAAGAATGGAACTGTAAAAGAATATAAATTGCTAAGTGGTAACATCAAGTTTCATCGGTTTTAAGATGTGGACTACATACATTCAACGTAAGATTTGAATATATTGGATCAACCAAGAACGTAAATGAGGTCCAGAATAAAAAAGAGCTGTAAAATCACCATCAATTAAAGTTGTCCCCACCCGGATTTGAGTTAAGTAATGTTATACGTCGGACTGCAAGATAAATCACGACTAGATGTTAAAGAATAACATAAACACTCCATCAGCAATACATTAAATTCACAGTAATCACCGTCAAGAAAATGAGAAAATTACCACTTACTGTGATGGTTAACATTAAATGGAGTATCTTCCTGGTCGGGGCTACCTTTGTCTCCAAACCTGACCCTTCCAGTTCCATCGTGTCCAAAACATATGGAGAACGAATACCTCAACCAGTTCCGGATGAGCATCTTCAGTTGTTAGGTGAAGAACGTCCACCAGTAGAACCCCAGAAGTAGAAGTTTGAGCTGACATGTAATGTACCATGTAAGGACAATTACCAAATGTTCTGAGGCATTGGTTTCGTTGCGCACACAAGCTACTACTGCAGGTGACCTTCTGGGTGGATGATCCTTTAGAGTTGTATATACTAAGCTTAAAATCCTGCCACCAAAAAGAGTGCACAGTTTAATATCAATACAAAGACAACTAGAATTCTACAAGCCCCAATAATGCATTTCCCAGCTGTTCGAGTGTAGTGCAGAAGTTGGACTGTTAGAGAGCATCCACTAAGGGCAATTCATACAAATCAGATACAGTTTTTACTCTTAAATGTACTACTGTGCTTCTTTGTACTGCATATTTGACTTCTAGAATGAACAAAGAGTTATGTGATGCAAAATTTTGCTTGAACATGTTGGTAATGCTCAATCCCACATAGTATTGGAAATACTATTGGGAATGGGTATTTATGGTTTGAATTTTCCACTTCCTTGTTGAGTGAAAGAGAACAA